TGGCCCCGACCGCTGCTGCCGGACCGAATCGAGTCGGGATATCGCGGCCCCGGCCAGCGAGTCAAACCGCATCGGGTCGGGCCGTGGGCGGTCCTGACGGGCCCAGGGTGATCCCTGAAGGGACATCGCAAAACAACGACGACGACGACGACAACAACCACAACAACAACCACAACAACAACCACACCAACAACAACAACAACACCAACACCAACACCAACACCAACACCAACACCAACAACAACAACAACAACAACAACAACAACAACCATTTTAAGGCTGTACGCTCTTACTTGCCCGCGAGTCATTCAACACGTATACCCTACACCCTCGAAACCCGCCCTCTTCGTCTTCGATCACACCCCTTTCGGGGGGATTATTTCTCTTTGCTGGGGCCGGCGGGCTTAGACGTACGGGCAAACCGGAACGGGCGGACAATCCTTCGGGGGCGTACATCTCTCTGCCCGCCATTGGAATTGGCGCGGGCCCTGCAAGAGGAGGAGGGGAAGAACGAGGAGAGTGGGAGGAAGGGGAGGGGGAAGGACGAAGGAAGAGGGAAGATACCACGTTGTGAAGGCGTCCTTGGCGCGCGCGTGGTTCCTGAGCGCCGAAACGCAATTCCAGAATAATTTGTGAGGACGTCGCACGCGAGAGCGCAGTCCTGAGTACATTGTGAGGAAATCTCGGGCGGGAGCGGGGGCCCTGACTAAGTTGCGAGGAAGTCTCAAGCGGGAGCGCCGTTCCTGAGCAAATTGCACGGAAGTCTCAGGCGGGAGCGGGGGTCCTCACTAAATTGCGAGGAAGTCTCAGGCGGGAGCGCCGTTCCTGAGTCAATTGCGCGGAAATGTCAGGCAGGAGCGGGGGTCCTGAGTAAAATTCGAAGAAGTCTCAGGCGGGAGCGCCGTTCCCACGTAAATTGCACGGAAGTCTCAGGCGGGAGCGGGGGTCTTGATTACATTGCGAGGAAGTCTCAGACGGGAGCGCCTTTCCTGAGAAAATTGCGCGGAAGTCTTAGGCGGGAGCGGGGGTCCTGAGTACAAATCGAGGAAGTCTCAGGCGGGAGCCGTTGTTGTTGTAGCCCGGGGGGCAGGGACACAGTTTGAGCAGGAAGACTTTCCTTGAAAAAAACAAGGTGCGAGCCCCGGGGGTGGCACTTCAATCGAAAAAAATCAATGTGCACCGGTGGGGGGGATCAACAATAATTATTCTTCAAGAATGAGAGTTCAACAACAACAACAACAAGCTAAGCCAAGCCAAGCCAAGCTAAGCTAAGCTAAGCTAAGCTAGGCTAGGCAACGCTAAGCTAAGCTAAGCTAATCGAAGATGAGATCAGCTAAGCTAAGCTAAGCTAAGCTAAGCTACTGGGGGAACCGCGGGGCGGATCCTGGGGGAACCGCGGGGCGGATCCTGGGGGAACCGCCCGGGGCGAGGACCACTGCCCGGCCCTTTAAGCAGACCGAGTAAGAACCCTTCTAGGCAGAGCCTAGGTAGGGAAAAGACAAAAACAACAACAACAGCAGCAGCAACAACGACGACAACAACAACACCAGCAGCAACCACAACAACAACAGCATCAGCAGCAGCAGAAGCAGCAGCAGCAACAACCACATCACCAACAAAAACAAAAACAAAAACAAAAACAACAGCAGCAACAACAACGACGACAGCAACAACAGCAACAACAGCAACAGCAACAGCAACAGCAGCAACAGCCGCAACCACCACCAAAACCACCACAACTGCCACAACAATAACAATGACGGCAACACAACAACAAGAACAATAACAATAACAAAAACAATAACAGCAACAGCAACAACAACAACAATAACAATAATAATTATTTTAAGACTGTTCGCCCTTATCTGCTCGAGTGTCCAATAACGCCTATTTCCCAAACCCCCGATGCCCACCCTCTTCGTCTTCGATCGAACCACTTTTGGGGGGTATACCTTTCTTCCCTGCAGGCCGGGCCCCGGCAAGCGGCGGGGCGGCCGCGGACCGTCGGCCTGGCCAGCGGCAGCGCTGATCGGCGGGGCGGCCGCGGACCGTCGACCCGACCCCAAGAGGGACCGACAGGGGACCGACCACGACGACGACGACGACGACGTCGACGACGACGGCGACGACGACGACGGCGACGACGACGACGAGGGAAAGCGAGAGCGAAAGAGAACGACAGCAGGGCCACAAGGACACGAAGTAGGCCACGCAGGGCAACAGCGGGGACACGAAGGGAATGCGAAGAGCGCGAACGAGCGGGGGCCACGAAGGGCAGATAATGCGGGGCCACAGAAGGCAACGATGGGGCCACTGAAGGTAGCAACTGGGCCACGTAGGACAGATGCATATGGGGCCACCACGGGCGCGAACGAGCGGGGGCCACGAAGGGCGAGGGGGCCACGAAGGGATGCAACGGGGCCACGAAGGGCAGCGAGGGGGCCACGAAGGGCTGCAACGGGGCCACAAAGGGCTGCGACGGGGCCACGAAAGGCAGCGACGGGGCCACGAAGGGCTGCAACGGGGCCACGAACCAAAGCGAGGGGGCCACGAAGGCCTGCAACGGGGCCACAAAGGGCAGCGAGGAGGCCACGAGGGGCTGCAACGGGGCCACGAAGGGCTGCAACGGGGCCACGGAACAAAGCGAGGGGGCCACGAAGGGCTGCAACGTGGCCACGAAGGGCAGCGAGATCCCGATTCCTATATAATCTGTGAGGGAGTCCTAAGCGTGAGCGCGACTCCTGGGTGCCTGGGTGTCGGGAGCGCGGCTTGAGTAAATTGCAAGAAATTCCAACGCAAGGGCGCTATTCTTTAGTAAATTGCAAGCAAGTAAATCTCCAGCGAGAGCGCGACTCCAGAGCGCCGGGAGAATAAATTCTAAGGAAGTCCCAAGCGAGAGCGCGATTCCTGAATAAAACGCGAGGAAGTCTCGGGCGGGAGCGGGAGTCCTGGCTAAATTGTGAGGGAGTCTCAGGCGGGAGCCGTTGTTGTTGTAAACCGCGGGCCAACGACACTGTTTGACGCTCAAAACTTTCCCTGATAAAAGACAGAGTGCGAGCCCCGTGAAGGGCACTTGAATCGACAAAAAAACAATGTGCACTGGACGGGGGGAACAACATTATTTATTCTTCAGAGATGAGAGTTCAACAACAAGAACAACAACGACAACAACAACGACAACAACAATACTAATAATAATAACACTAGCAGCAGCAGCAGCAGCAACAACAGCAACAGCAACAGCAACAGCAACAGTAATAACAACAACAGCAACAGTAGCAGCAACAACAACAGAAATAACAAAACAACATACTAGTTATTATGTGTCACACATATGTAAAATATACATATATAAATGCATGTATATATGTATAAACTGCATTACTGGACTAACATGTATGCAAACGAATAAAAATGGGCAAACCTACGATTCAATCAAATCAAAAGAAGAAACTCGGGAGAGCTGAGCAGAGCCGTCCCGCGAGCGTCTTGATGCTGCGCTGGCACGGGCGATGGCGGCGAATTGCTGCAGGCAGCCAGACTCGGCGGCGAGCGAGGGGGGAAGTGAGAAGGAGAAGGCCTTCTCAGGAAACAGCGGGGCTCCTCAGAGAGGTCTTCTGCGTCTCTGGGGAAGGCTCAGGAAACTTCTCAGAGAAGGCTGGGGGACTTCCGAGCCTTCTGAGCAGGCCTTCTCCTTCTCACTGCCCCCGCTATCGCTCGCCGCCGACAGACATCACCCAGGAAAAATGGTGCGTGCTCCGCAGCTCGCAATGCGACGGCCCCGTGGAGCATGGACGACTACGGCTCGCAGAGGTCTGTTCGCCTCCGGTCTCTGCAGGGAAAGTGGAAAACGGAGAAGCTGGAAAGAGGGGGAGCTGGAAGTGGCCGTGGCCGGCCAAGACGGCAGAGGATCGAGAGAGGCCGAAACTGATGGGGTAGTGGCGGGGGCTGGAGAAACAGGAGGGAAACTGACCAGGGCTGGAGACGCTGGGGGGCTGGCCACAGCATAATTCAAGACTACCGTCCTGCCACCAACATCGACCCGTGGACCTGTCCCGGGGTGCAGTCCAGCCGTGGCCACGCGGGCACGCCAGGAGGCCCACAAATGACGGAAAAGGTGGTTCAAAACATCGAGACTGCATACTCGAACCTCAATCCTCGAACCTCCCCAGGGATTCTCGATCCTTCTCCTCCTCATCCTCCTCCTCCTCCTCCTCCTCCGCCTCCTCCTCCTCCTAGTCCTTCTCCTCCTCCTCATCCCCCTCCTCCTCCCCCCCCTCCTCCTCCCCCTCCTCCTCCTCCTCCTCCTCTTCCTCCTCCTCCTCCTCCTCCTCCTCCTCCTCCTCCTCCTCCCCCTCCTCCTCCTCCTCGTCCTTCATCTCATCCATCTCCTCCTTCCCAGACCGCCGAGGTACGTTTTCTCCGTGGCGTGGCCGCCCGGAGCGATCGACCACTTCCCTAGGTACCGTGTATTCTCGAACGCAGCAAAGACGAAAAATGGAGTAGCCCACAGGTGCATAGAGGTGGGTACAACGGCAAGATCTCCCCACATCCCAGCCACGCCACCTCACATCAAGCCTCCTTCCCAGATCCGCACACGAAGAGAAAGGGGATTCCAGGACCCCTCCTCCTGGGAAACCAGGAGATGGCGACACCGCTGCTCCCCGAACCTTTCCCGAGGTGCGTTCTGACCAGAATTTCGAGGCGAATTCGGTTGTGGCGACGAGAGCCTCCCAGGAGGCCCACAAAGGCGAAATCAAGGTAAGGGTACGTAGCGGTATCGGTACCTGTTCCTCCTCCTCCTCCTCCTCCTCCTCCTCCTCCTCCTCCTCCTCCTCCTCCTCCTCCTCCTCCGTCTCCTCCTCCTGTCGGCGAGGTAAACGATGACGGCGACGACGAGGACGAGGACGAGGACGACGAGGACGAGGACGAGGACGACGACGACGACGACGAGTGCGACGACGACGACGACGACGACGACGACGACGACGACGACGACGACGATGGCGGCGGCGGCGGCGACGACGACGACGACGACGACGCCGACGACGACGACGACGACGACGAGGACGAGGACGAGGACGACGAGGACGACGAGGACGACAACGACGAGGACGAGGGCGACGACGACGACGGCGACGCCGACGGCGGCGACGACGGGAGCGACGGCGACGGCGGCGACGGCGACGGGAGCCGAGCGTGCAGAATCCCGACCGGCTCAGCCGCCGCGCGGGCATCTCCGAGACCTCCCGCAAAGGCCACCCGCGGCCCTCGACGACGCGCGCCACCTCCCCGGGGGGGGGGGGGGCAGGAGGGGGGGAGGCCGAGGCAGACCTCGTGCACAGGAGGAGGAGAGAGGAGGAGGAGAGAAGGAGGGAGGAGGAGGAGGAGGGGGAGGGGGGAAAGGAAGAAGGGGAGGAGCGAAGGAGACGAAGGAGGGATGGAAGAAGGATAGAAGCGGAGGAGGAGGAGGAGAGGAGAGGAGGAGGAGGAGGAGGGGGAAGGAAGGAAGGAGGGGAGGAGCGAAGGAGACGTAAGAGGGATGGAAGGAAGGACAGAAACGGAGGAGGAGGAGGAGGAGGAGGAGGAGGAGGAGGGGGAGGAGCAGAAGGACGAGGACGGGGAGGAACGAGGACGAGGACGAGGACGAGGAGGGGGAGAAGGAGGAGGAGGACCAGGAGCAGAGTAAAACCTGAGCTGCATCCGCGATGCTACAGCAATCCCTCCCGTCCCGAGTCCCGTCCTCGCATGTCCCTACAATTAGGTTGGGCATGTCCCCCTACAGGCAGACTTTGGAGGAAAAACAACAAATACCATTCAAAAAACAATAATGCTCAACAAAAACTCAAACAATCCTCCCCGGACTATCTTTGGACTATTATTGAACGTTCCTCCTGTAGGGGGACGGACGCGCCCGACTTAACCCTACAAGTCTTGTTTTCCACTTCAAGAAGCGCCCCCTTGAAAGACCAGCACCCCATAGGCTTTTGCATTCGGATAGCCCCGTCCTGACAAGGCACAAACTGCCCCTCCTCCTCCTCCTCGTCCTCCTCCTCCTCCTCCTCCTCGTCCGCGTCCTTGCCGTCGTCCGCCTCCTCTTCCTCCTCCTCCTACTCCTCCTCCTCTTCCTCCTCCTCCTCCTCGTCCTCCTCCTCCTCCTCCTCCTCATTGCAGCCGTCCGCCTCTTTCTCCTCCTCCTCCTCCTTGCAATCGTCCGTCCTTCCACCCTTCTAGCGAGTAACGAGGAACGCGCAATGATACGACCAGACAATTCAACGAGGTGCCAAGCGAGATCCCCACTTTCGGAAAGGACCACACCCATCTGTTTAACTGTTGCGCAAGTGCTCATGCCTGGCCATGAGCGTCGAGAAAATCTTAAGCGAGAGACCAATGTTGAACATGCGCCACGTTCCATCAGTGCAACTGCACCATATGTCCAAGTTGGATCGTCGAAACATGTCAAGCGAACGCCCGACCTGCAGAACTATCCGCTTTCTGTGCCTGTTGCGCGTGTCAAGCTTCCGGTCTTTAAGTCTGAAGCCAAAGCCCCACGCTGAAGCAGAACAGCCCAACTAATCCCGAAACTGCCCCAAAAGTGTCAGATGGCTGTGCGCGGCGCCCAGGCGAGAGCCCCATCTCCAAGAGGAGCCGCCGCCCTCCGTCACTGAACTTCTCCGATGGCTGTCAAGATGGATGCGCGCAGCGCCGAGGCGAGAACCACATGTTGACGATGGCCCCCTCCCGTCCTCGAAGCTCCTGCAAACTTTGGAGACGAAGGTGCGCGGCGCTGAGGACGAGGGCTCCTCTCGAGAACGCCCCCACCTCCATCCCTGAAGCGACTGCCAGCTTGTGAGGCAAGTGCGCGCGGCGCGAAGGCGAGAGCATCCTTTTGAAGACGGCCCCCCCGGCATCCTTGAAGTTGTTGAGAACTTTGCACGGGGCGCCCATTCGCATGGGCGCCCCGTGCAAACGGTCGCCGAAATTGGCCAGACTCCGTGGAGACTAGGCCCATTGGTGAGGGACCGGGCTAACTCGGGGCCACCATGGGCTCTTAGATGACCCCCGACATTTCGAACACGCCCAAAACGGCCCGAGGACACCCCCGACGGGACTTCCAAGAGGGCTCCAAGAGGGCCACATCGTCAAAATCCGATGTGTTCTCGCATGTTTTACGCATGGCGGTTCGTTCGGTTTCGGGGCCCCGGGAAGTTCCAACAATGCTGCCAGCAGGCTCCCAAGAGGCCTCAAATGACAACCCAAGAAGCCTCCCAACAGTGCGTCTTGTCGGCGGCCCAGTTTCCTCACTGCAGTGCCTCAAGAACGTCGTCGAAATGCCTGCACAATTACACAATATGAATACGACACCCCTCTCTCCCCTGAGCTCGTGCGGAAGATGGCGGGCACCCCTCCACGTACGGCTTTTTCCACACAGGATTGCCGGGAGCTTCGTTTACAATCCGATTATTTTCGGTCTTTCCAAATGTTGCTCCCGTTGCAGCGTTGGCCCCACTTTCGAATTTCCGTTGGTTCCGAATCGTGCTCCCGCTACAGCGCTGACCTCATTTTCACATTTCCGGTTCGGAATCGCGTTCCCGCTGCAATGCTGCCCTCATTTCCGCGCTGCCGTTCGTTTCGAACCGCGTTCCCACTGCAGCGCTGGCCTCATTTCTGGTGCCACGCCATGGCTTACAATGCAATGATATGGTGCATTCCGCTATGCGACGCCATCCCCTCAGCTGCAATGCAATGATATGCAGCGGTTGACTACGCATTGCCACACCGTGCTACGTTATATTACGCGTTGATCTTCAACTCCACGTTATCCAATGTAATGTCATTGCCACGGTACGACATCTGACCGCGCGAAAGGAGAGGAGCCCTACGCCATGTTAGGGGATGGGAAGGAGGGGCAGGACTTCAAATAAGACACTTGCGCACCTAGCTTGTCCTCCTCCCCCATCCCCCTCCCCCTCCCCTTCCCCCATCCCCCCTTCGTCCTCTTCATCCTCCTCCTCCTCCTCCTCCTCCTCCTCCTCCTCCTCCTCCTCCTCCTCCTCCTCCGCTTCCTCCTCCTCCTCCTCTCCTCCTCCTCCTCCTCCTCCTCCTCCCCTCCTCCTCCCTCCTCCTCCTCCTCCTCCCTCCTCCTCCTTCTCCTCCTCCTCCTCCTCCTCCTCCTCCTCCTCCTCCTCCTCCTCCTCCTCCCCCTCCTCCTCCTCCTCCTGCACCTCATCCTTCCCCCCCTCCCATCGAGTCCCCCATCCTCCTTCTCGCTGCCGATAGGCGCACCGACACGTTGCAACAGTGGTACAATACGAGCTGGCGCAGTGACCAAAGCGATCGAATAAACTTCTGACGCGGTGACCTCCGACGGCAGAGGTCACTGTCCGACTGTCCGAGAACAGTCCCCGAGAGAGAACCGCCAGGATTATCACGTCGACGGATATGTGCGTCATCTTGTTCGCCCTCCTCCTCCTCCTCCTCCTCGCCGTCTTTCTCCTCAGTCGAAGTCGGGCGAAGAAGAGGGAACGAGCAACACGATTGGGACAGGCCTGGCGGCGCTGCGGGGGCCGACCGCGACGGTGTGCTGGCGGGCGTGCAACGCTAGGCTCCCAGAGCAAAACATGTCCAACGGAACGTCAGCCTCCTCCTCCTCCTCCTTCCTTCCTCTCCTCCTCCTCCTATCCCTCCGCCTCCCTCTCCCTTCCTCTCCTCTCCTCCGCCTCTCCTCGCCGCCTCCGCCTCCTCTCTATCCTACCTCCTCCTCCTCCTCTCCTCCTCCTCCCCCTTCTGCTCCTCCTCCTCCTTCGTCTCCTCCTCCTCTCCTCCTCCTCCCCTCCTCCTCCTCCTCCTCTCCTCCTCCTCTCCTCCTCCTCCTCCTCTCCTCTCCCCTCATCCTCCTCCTCCTCCTCCTCCTCCTCCTCTCCTCCTCCTCCGCTCCTCCTCCTCCTCCTCTCTCCTACTCCTCCCCTCCTCCCCTCTCCTCCCCCTCTCCTATCCCTCCTCATCCTCCTCTCCTCCTCCTCCTCCTCCTTCTCCGCCTCCTCTCCTCTCTCTCCTCCTCCTCCTCCTCCTCCTCCCCTCCTCCTCCTCCTCCTCCCCCTCCTCCTCCTCTCCTCCTCTCCTCCTCCTCCTCCTCCTCCCCTCCTCCTCCTACTTCCTCTCCGCCTCCCCTCCTCCTCCTCTTCCTCCTACTCTCCTCCTCTCCTCCTCCTCCTCCTCCTCCTCTCCCGCCTCCTCCTCCTCTCCTCCTCTCCTCTCCTCCTCCTCCTCCTCCTCCTCCTCCTCCTCCTCCTCCTCCTCATCCTCCTCCTCCTCCTCCTCTCCTCCTCCCCTCCTCCTACTCCTCCTCCTCCCCCCCTCCTCCCCCCCTCCCCTCCTCCGACCAGTCACGCCCTTTGAGGGGTACGGCGCACCTCTTCCTCCTCCCTCCTCCCTCCGACAGCCACGCCCTGAGGGGTACGGCTGCACCTCATCCCTCCTCCCCTGCCCCCTCGCCCCCTTCCTCCGACAGCCACGCCCTGCGGGGTACAGCTGCACCTCAGCCTGCCCCCTCCCTTCGCACTTTTCCCCCACCGTCCTCTCCCCTCCCCCCCTCCGACGGCCACGCCCTGCGGGGTACGGCCGCACCTCTGCCTGTCTTGCCGCCTCCTCCCTTCTTCCCTCCTTCCTCCGACTACCACGCCCCGCGGGGTACGCGTGCACACCCGCCTACCTCCCTCTTCCCTCCTCCGTGGATGCCCTCCTCCCCCCCTCCTCCTCCCCACCTTCCCGCCGCTGCCTTCCAGGCTCTAAGGGGGGTCGTATTGAGGGCAGTGCACTTCCCACGCGCAGGCGGCGAGATGGCAGGTCGCGGTGCTCGTGAGCGGTCCCGTTCGCGCTCCAGGTCGCGCAGCCACCCGCGCACCCGCCGCCACAGCCGGGGGGGCCGCGACCCTGCGGCGGAGCGGCACAGGGGCGCCCGGCACCTGAGGTCGGGAAGCCGGAGGTCAGGCTGGGACGTCGAGGAGGTCGGGGCGCCGCGCAGCCTTTACTTGGCCAGCGAAGTCTACGGACGCGAAGGCACCCTTGGTTCGGGAGCCCCCCGGCCGAAGTCCGAGGGCATCCCAGGCAGGGCGCCCCAGCAGCCTGCGCCGCCGCAGGGCGCGCTCCTCTTGCAGGCGGCCTTCGTCGACGGCGCCTCGGTGCGCTTCCTGAGCCTCGGCGGGGCGGAGCGCTGGCGTGTCGCGGCGGCGCCCGCCACTTCGCTCGCGGAGGTGCGCGACCGGCTGGCGGCCGAGTGGCGCGCGGG